TCTATTGCCACGGGTCTTCTTGTCCTTGCTTTTAAACTAAGGACTCTGGCAAAAGGTTTTATTTGTGGTTTGAGAATCTCTTTCGCTTCCAGTGATTCTCTATCTATAAAAGGGATAGGGGTCACTGGTTTAGAGATAGTGACAAGGGCATTATGCCTAAATGAAATTTGGGCCTGCTCTAGTCGAAGGTAGGGCCTTCCTAGAATTCCATGTGTAGAAATGGGGAAATTATTTCTAACTATGTGAAATTCTACAGGAATGTCGAAGAGTGTTAGTTCGACAGTGCCCAATGTTTTCACGGTGTGATTCGTGATTCCAGTGATCTCAGCACATTTACTTCGTGTAAATGTGAGGTCAGGACTTAATACACACACTTTGATCAAATTTGTGTCAGATCCAGGATAAAAAAAGGAATAAAAAAATTGATTTGTTACAAGGGGTGATGATATGCGTGTTTAAACATACATGCATATATTATATATATATATATATACATATATATATGCCCACGAGCACATACACATATACTTATGTGCCCCCTTTTTTTTTGTTTTTTTTTTATGCGCAAACTTGGCAGTCTCTTTTTTTTCGAGAGGGGAACAAACTGTCTCTCTTATTTTCCCTTTTTTTTTTTTTTTTTTTTTTTTCTTACGCCACCGCGGAATATTCCTGCAAACTTGCTTCAAGGAAATTGAGCATGCGGAAAATTATAATCTGTCGCGTTGGCTGATTTTGTTTGTGTCGCTAGTGATGGTACTTGGTTTGAAATTTTTGTTTAGTTGAGCATAGTCGACGTAGAATCGGTTATTCGCTTTCTTAAAAACCAGTACTAAGGGGATGTTACAAGGCGACGTCGGCATAGGTGTTAAATCTTTGAGTGTTTTGTCAGTCAGAATAGGTGAAACCATTTTAAAAAAATTATTAATTATTTTCAATCCAAAATCATTACGTCACTGTCATATGCCGTAGTCTCGTCAGAGTCGTTTGAATTATCGTCTAAGTGTTGTTGTAAGAGTTCTATTCTGCGACGAGCCAATTCCTCCTCTCTTTCAAGGTCAATTACTCGAGCTTGTGGAGGGGGAACCTGGGGGTTACTTGGACCTGCTATGGGGAGGACAACCGGGGAAAAAGGTTTTACTTTATTAATGGGTCTGATTTTTAATGTCGGTTCGGTAAGGTTATAATAAATTTCCGAACTCGGAACTCTTGTCGCTGATTGTTTTTCTGTAATTGTGGGTGCACTCCTTTTTCCCGCAATTTTTCCCCACCTCTTTCCTGCTCTTTTTCCTCTAGGGTTTTTATTGAGTAAAAATCCGTTTATACTGGACATTTTAAAGTATTCATTATTGAAAATTTTCCTTTCTTTTCACTGATTTTCATTAATTCCACGTCAGGAATGCGTTACATTTATATCAACTCAGCAAGAAGCTTTCCTCACGGGGAGATCGTACTGAAACCAGCGCTTTTGAATATTACGAGATGCGAAAGAGAATTTGATTTTCTTCCTATCTCGTTTTTCTTTTCGGAAAATTATTCAAATGCAGCATAGGAATTTCCGATCTCGCGGTGTCGTACTGGCAACAGCGATGGAGAGTAACTGGTTTTATAATCAATTTAATGATTCTAAAACTTCGTTTTGTAACGGTTTTTCTGCATGGATATTAGGGAAATTCTCAGGATTCAGATTTTCTTTTAAGCTTTTCCGTATTAGAGAATTTTCGCAGTGTAACAACTCAGCAAGAAGCTTTCCTCACGGGGAGATCGTACTGAAACCAGCGCTTTTGAATATTACGAGATGCGAAAGAGAATTTGATTTTCTTCCTATCTCGCTTTTCTTTTCGAAAAATTATTCAAATGCAGCATAGGAATTTCCGATCTCGCGGTGTCGTACCGGCAACAGCGATGTAGAGTAACTAGTTTTATAATTAATTTAATGATTACAAAACTTCGTTTTGCTACAACTCTTCTAAAGGGAAAACCTTAAATAAAAAAAAATCTTTTTTTTAAAAGAAAATTTCAAACAGTATTTATAAATTTTGGAATGATAGTAATCCCAATTCGATGGCGCTTTGTCTGCCAATTATTCCCGTTGTAATGTGACAATCTTGCGAGAAGAAAGAGTCCACTACACAAAAACAGATCTCGATTCCATTTACTGGTAGAAAAATAATGCCTAAGATTTCTGCATATTCGTCATTTATGCAGTCTCCCGACGGGAAGCCAACAATCGCGCAGTCTGTCTTAAGTTGTGTCTCACAAATATAGTTAAGTTTAGTATCGTTATTGACAGGAATTTCTAAACTATTACAGAGGTGGTCTGAATGTACTGTCACAGTTTGTGCACTGTTATATTGTACTCGAATAGTCATAGTAATTTAGACATGACACAAAAATATTTGTTTATGAAAAAATTATTCTTCCGTTTAGTCTTTTAAACGAGAAACTGACCGTTTCTATTCTTCGAACTCTAAGGTCTTGTTCAGTCGTATGAGTAAGCACGTCAGCTGATCCAACAAGTGTGAGTGAGAGTCTCTGTAATTCTCGTCGGTTAACAATGTATTGAACACAGGAACTAGAAATGGCGGGAAGGGGGGATGGGTGATGTTTGGATATAATAGGTTTAAGATTTGTGTTTGGATGTTTCTACTTGAAAATTATATTTGTTGAAGGAATTGTTAAAGTTATTTTCTTATCGCGTTCGTTACCGTTGTTACTGCTAGTTCGGTGGTGGGTTTGTGTTTTTATTGCCTTTCAGACTGTTACCTGAAAAGAGACCATCAAAGGAGACAGACAGTTTTCCTACCTGAACGGAGGGACGAGGCTTCCCTGCGGAAAAGGGTACGACAAATTCGGCTTTCCCAGCTAGGGACAACGACAAAAAAGGGGGCCAGACGTGAAGAAGTGGGGTTCCCAGCTCGGGACGCTTCAAAGAATACGTCATTAACGGCTCATTAGTTATTTGGCAGTGCTGGAGTGGAGTTCTCGTTGTGAGACGCTCCTTTTAAAATACTACGAGATTAATAATTGTGATTTGTATTATAATTTTCTTGATTAAAACTCGTTCTATTGGTTGCTAATTTTGTGTTTTATTAATTTACTTTTTTTCCTGTCCGACATGGGGACCAGTCCCGGCTAATAATTAACAAATGGTGGAGGCGCCGGGTAACACCAATGGTCTACCTATTCGTCAGACAAAAGTAAAATAAGTGCGTGTCGCGATAAATCGTTAAAGTGAAATAATAATACGTAAAATGGAGGAGAATCAGGAGATGCCGAGACTTTCTAGTCAGGTGCTTGGGGACCCAAGACATGTCCAACTTGGTAGCCGATCAAATGCAGAAGGTGAGAGAGAGATAATACCGAGCGTGGAAAATCGAGGTGAGTCTATTTCATTACATAATACCAATTTTCGCGGAAGTTCTGGTACTATCAGTATGCGTGGTGAGGGTTCGATAAATAGCCTTGATGATGGGAGTTTGGTCAGTCCTATCACTAGGGATTCTTTAAACAGAAAGCGAGATCTAAGATTAGAAGCTGCAAAAAAGAAATTTCTTATTGAATCGAAGATTCTAGAAGAAAGGAGAAAATTAGAAATGCGATTAATTGAGGAAGAGTTTAACGCGAATCTCGATAGTCTAGAAGAGGACGAAGGTTTGCGGGGGGGTTCTATAGATCGGCAAATCGATCATGAGACCGGTAGTGTGGGTGAATGGGTGGATCGCGGACGGCACGGAAATGCAGGTCCTTCATATCGAGATGAAGACAATCGATCGGAATCGGGTCATTCAAGAATTCATGACAATACAATGCTTAGTAATAGCTTAAGAGAGTTTGCCCAAGAAATATCTCGTTCTATAAGAGAATCGCGTGGGGGGGATATGTTAGAAAAAACGAATCAAGGGATAATTAAAAAAATGTCAGTAGGAAAGGCCCTGCCCTCCTTCGATGGTGACGTCTTAGAATGGCCGATGTTTAAACGAGCATTTGAGGAGAGCACATCAAAGGTGGGTTATACTGAACAAGAAAATTTAATTCGACTAAATGAAAGTTTAAAAGGCGATGCAAAAGAAGCCGTAGCTTCGCTTATGGTAACAACTAATGATACTAAGCAAATTATGCAATTATTACAACTTCGTTTCGGCAACGCGAATGCAGTCGGAACTCGTATAATAAAGGATTTAAAAAATCTGCCAAAAATTCAAGGAATAAATGACAATTTTATAAATTTTGCTACTAAAGTCAAGAATAGTGTAGCAGCTTTAGAGGCGACCAAACACCTTGGATATCTGCATAGTCTAGAGTTGGTCCGTGAGATTATGGGCAAAATGCCATCTTCCATGGTTTCCAATTTTAATCGTTATCTGCACAGTAGTAATGAACTTGACATGCCCATGCTTGTATCCTTGTCAAACTTCCTTTTCTTTGAAGCCGAAATCGCGTGCAAAGTTGGCATATTTGAGACTGTAGAAAAATCCGAAACTTTTAAACGCCCTCATAACTCTGACAATAAAAATCATAACCCGAAACGATCGCGAGGAAATTATTTTGAGTCGCAACAGTCTGGTAATCGTGCTACCGAGAGAGTACATACTACGGCTGAAGAAAAGAACAAAAAAGAAAATTGCGGCTACTGTCAAGGTAAAGATCATGCAGTCGTAGTATGTCCTGAATTTGATAAATTGTCCACCTCTAAACGATGGGACTGGGCCAGCAAAAAGAAAATTTGCTTTCGTTGTTTGTCGAGCACTGAACATCGACAAAATAAATGTCGCGAAGGTAGTTGTACCGTCTCTGGTTGTAAGAGTACCCATCATACGTTACTTCATCGAATGGATAGATCTAACGATGATGAAGAAATTTCTATTATAAGAAACGAGGCTCTGAGATCCGTCAAAAATAAGGAAACAGAGAAATGACTAGCCTTCGATAGACGTATTCTATTAAAGATCATTCAAGTCAAATTATATGGACCTAAAGAATCAATTCTTACATTTGCCCTAATGGATGAAGGGTCGACAGTTACCCTTTTAGATGATACCTTAGCTAAAATCATTGGCGTGAGAGGACAACGAGATCCATTACAAATTACTGGCGTAGGGAATTCAGGGACTTCTGACCCCTCTAGCGAACGAGTCGATTTTGAAATTAGTGCCCTCGACAGTAATGTAAAACATTCAATAAGAAACGCTCGCACCATAAAAAGTTTAGTTCTACCTAGTCAATCGCTTTCGGCAAACGATATACAAAATTATTCCCATACGTCACACCTATCTGTCGAGCCTTATAACAATGTTGTACCGAAACTGTTAATCGGTCAGGACCATTGGGATCTCGTTACATCAATAAGAACAATGTCAGTTTCTCGATTTCAGCCAGTAGCTTCCTTGACCAAGTTGGGATGGGTTATTCATGGTCAAATACCTACGCGTTTAGAAAAAAATAATTATGTAACAGTTTTATCAATAGATTGTTCGCAAGAAAATTCCGAAGACTCTTCGGACCTACATAAATTAGTCAAGTCATATTTTAGCACAGAATGTATAGGTATCACTAATAATAGTCGAAGGAACAAATTGGAAAAAAGGGCTGAGAACATATTGTCTAACACTGCGAAACGCATAGGCTCACGTTGGCAGGTAGGTCTGTTGTGGAAGAGTGAAGATATCCAATTACCGAATAATTACCAAAATGCCCTTACACGCCTTTATTCACTTGAAAGAAAAATGGATAAAAATGCTACATTCGGTGAACGATACTGTCAACAGGTAGAATATTTAATTAAGTCTGGGTACGCAAAAAAAGCAGATTTACCCCCCGTTAAAAACCCTCGCGTTTGGTACTTACCTCATTTCGGGGTAATTAACCCTAACAAACCTGACAAAATTCGTCTCGTTTTTGATGCGTCTTCAAAAACTAAAGGAGTTTCGTTAAATTCTAGCTTGCTAACAGGTCCGGATCTTGTTTGTTCACTGTATGGTGTCCTATTGCGTTTCAGACAAAAAAAGATAGCATTTATGGGGGATATTAAGGAAATGTTTCTTCAAATAAAAATTTGCGAAGAAGACCAAGGGGCACAACGGTTTTTGTGGCGCGGAATGAATCGAGAATGCGATCCTGAAGTGTATGTAATGACATCGATGTTATTTGGAGCGACTTCCTCCCCTTGCACTGCACAATATATAATGAATAAAAATGCCAAAGATTTCGAAACAAAATATCCGCGAGCAACTAAAGCCATCAAAAACAAACACTATGTCGACGATTATTTAGATAGTACAGATTCGGAACTGGAAGCGCTCACGGTAATCAAAGAAGTTACAGAAGTTCATAAACACGGAGGATTCGAGATTACCGGGTGGGTTAGTAATAATAAAATTTTACAAAGTAAACTTTCCGCAAATAAAGATAATGACATAGTTGACTTGACAAAAGATCATATAGAAAGAGCTTTAGGTTTAAATTGGAACTCGTCTAAGGACACCATTACCTTTAATTTCGATAGTAGAAAAATCCCCGATTCAATCGCCAACAAAAATGAAAATCCGACTAAACGCGAAATGCTAAGTGTTATAATGTCAGTTTACGATCCATTGGGTATTTTGCTACCACTTACAATTCGAAGTAAAATGTTGTTACAAGACGTCTGGCGAAGGAAGTGCGCCTGGGACGACAAACTGACAGAAGAAGAATTTATTCGTTGGAAAGCATGGATATCGGAATTAAAAAACGCGAAAGATTATCAGATTCCCAGGGCCTATTTTAATCGAGAAGACATACCTCGCGACATAGAATTGCATATTTTTAGTGATGCTAGCGATAAAGCCTATTCCGCTGTTGCTTACTTACGAGGAATTTTTCGAGATGGGTCAATTAATGTTTCGTTTGTCGCGGGAAAGGCGAGAGTAGCTCCACTGAAGTCCCTATCAATCCCGCGTATGGAACTCCAAGGAGCGTTAATAGCGAGTAGATTAGGCAAAACGATTATCGAGGAACTCGAAATAACTATCACGAGGCGCGTATATTGGACCGACTCGCTTACCGTCCTAGGATGGATCCAAGCAGACCCACGAAAGTACGAAGTATTTGTAGCTCACCGCTTAGGAGAAATCGACGAAATAACGGACATAGCGGAATGGAACTGGACTCCTAGCAAATTGAACCCCGCCGATTGTGCAACCAAGAATGTAGGAAATATACAGGTTCTTACAGATAGATGGCTCCAAGGACCGAAGTTCCTTTGTTCCCCCGAATCGATGTGGCCAAAACCGAATTCTATCGATAGGAAAATATCTTGTGAAACCGAAGCAAAACGCGAGTTTGTCACCGTTGTTAAAGAAAACATAACACAAGTTCTGCCAGAGATTTCGCACTTTTCTAAGTATTTATGTCTGATCAGAAGTACATCATGGGTATTGCTGTCCCCCCAACGTTGGCGTGGAAACAAAAGGGCCACGCTCACCCCAGACCTTTTACAGAAAGCCGAACTCGCGTGGATAAAACGACTACAAAGAGAATGCTTCGGGTCCGAAATCCAAAAGTTGAAAGATGGTAAACAATTAGATAAAGATAGTAGGCTTAAAGGTCTTTCACCCGTAATGGACGCGGACGGAGTCACACGAATTGATGGTCGAATAAAAGTAGCCACCGATGTTTCATACGACGTTAAGTTTCCGGTAATCCTAGACGGTAAGCACCCGTTCACTCGATTGATAGTGCAATATTATCATGAAAAATTCGGACATGCCTCACCTGAAACGATTGTTAACGAACTGAGACAGAAGTACTGGATAATAAAACTACGCCCCACGGTAAGATCTGTCTCTGCACAATGCCGATGGTGTCGTGTCCAGAAAGCAAAACCGCAAATTCCCCGCATGGGCGACTTACCCATAGAGAGATTGGGTCATCATCAAAGACCTTTCACGTTTTGCGGGATAGATTACTTTGGTCCTATGTTGGTCACTGTAGGAAGACGAAACGAAAAGAGGTGGGGTGTTCTCATAACGTGCTTAACGACCCGGGCTATTCACCTTGAACTCGCTTCTTCCCTGTCCACCAATTCCGCTATTATGGCACTCAGGCGTATGATAGCTCGACGTGGTTGTCCTTCAGAAATATTTTCGGATAATGGCACAAATTTAAAGGGAATGGACCTGGAACTCCAAAGGTCGATTAAAGAAATCGATTATGACACAATAGAACAAGAAATGACGAGTCGTGGAATCAAATGGCGATATATTCCCCCGTCGACTCCTCATATGGGCGGAAGCTGGGAGAGGTTAGTACGTAGCGTTAAAGTAGCTTTAGCAGTAACTCTGAAATCAAGGGCACCCAAAGAAGAGGTGTTGTCGACATTGCTGGTTGAAGCCGAAAACGTTGTAAATAGTCGACCATTAACCCACGTGTCGGTTGATCACCGTGAAAGGGAAAGTTTAACTCCTAATCACTTTCTAATCGGCTCATCGTCAGGAGCATCAATTCCCGGAAATTTTAACAATGATGATTTGTGTTCCCGAAAGACCTGGCGGAAGTCACAACGTCTAGCCGACATGTTTTGGGCTCGCTGGTTAAAAGAATACATGCCCAGTTTAGTAATTAGGAAATGTTGGACTCAAGAAGTGAGACCGCTGTCAGAAGGTGACGTGGTATTAATCGCAGATCCAACTCTTCCAAGAAATTTATGGCCGAAAGGAATTATTTTAGAGACTATTCCAGGTAAAGATAAACGCGTCCGTTCAGTTAACGTGCGCGTTAGAAATCGAATTATGAAAAGATCAGCAGCAAATATTATTGTACTGGTTCCTGTAGAAGAGAGTACGGGAGTTACTTACTCTCGTACTGGGGGTGAGGATATTGAACACAGGAACTAGAAATGGCGGGAAGGGGGGATGGGTGATGTTTGGATATAATAGGTTTAAGATTTGTGTTTGGATGTTTCTACTTGAAAATTATATTTGTTGAAGGAATTGTTAAAGTTATTTTCTTATCGCGTTCGTTACCGTTGTTACTGCTAGTTCGGTGGTGGGTTTGTGTTTTTATTGCCTTTCAGACTGTTACCTGAAAAGAGACCATCAAAGGAGACAGACAGTTTTCCTACCTGAACGGAGGGACGAGGCTTCCCTGCGGAAAAGGGTACGACAAATTCGGCTTTCCCAGCTAGGGACAACGACAAAAAAGGGGGCCAGACGTGAAGAAGTGGGGTTCCCAGCTCGGGACGCTTCAAAGAATACGTCATTAACGGCTCATTAGTTATTTGGCAGTGCTGGAGTGGAGTTCTCGTTGTGAGACGCTCCTTTTAAAATACTACGAGATTAATAATTGTGATTTGTATTATAATTTTCTTGATTAAAACTCGTTCTATTGGTTGCTAATTTTGTGTTTTATTAATTTACTTTTTTTCCTGTCCGACATGGGGACCAGTCCCGGCTAATAATTAACACAATGCCTCCGTGGTGAAGTGGATGCTTTGGGTTATATGTCACAAAATAATCTAATTTAATTTGTGATTCTGGTTTTGGTCGTCTATTTAAGGGATGAAATTTATATTCTGATTTTACCGAAACTTGATTTTCCTTAACAATTTCGTTTTTAACGGGGGTAGTCTCTATTTTCGTATCTGAATTTTCCGATTTGTTTTGAATATTTTTATTGCGTGAATTAATTCGTTTTTTTGAGCGACCGCCACGGGGCCTAATTTTATGTGGCATAATTTGAATGATTCATAGCAAAAAAAGAAATGAAAAATCAATAGTTTTCAATTACTTCTTTAACAGAGTAAAGTGGCCCTTAAACAGAAAAGTTGAAATAAGATTCCTAATAATTCCGTAATTAGGGAGAGCGAAAAGGTGACGATAAGTAACACGAAAGTAAATAAAAGAAAAATTTCTATTAAAGACATGTTAAGTATAGAAGAAAAATAGGTTTCTTTCTTTTGCAATGAGAATTTTTTTCTTATTTCAAAAATGAAACAAATTTTTACGATTCGCTGTTATGAATTTTGATTAGTCATCATCAACGACATAGTCGGAGAGCCAGCATCAAAAATTGGGAATGAGTCATCATCAATGACCAAGGTCAGAGAGCCAAATTCACAATTTTTCGCAATTCAAACAGGTTGTCACTTAAATCTTTGAATACATTAGGAAATTGAAAATTTTCCTTTTGAAAATTTTCTCTTTTGAATTCTCAAAGTAAAGTATAAAGATGGAGGAAAATATTAGGCAGTTAAAGAAAATATCACTTCTTTCTGTTTTTCTCGATGAGAATTTTGTCTTTATTTCAAAAGATACAAATTTCCAGAGTTACTGTTATGAATTTCGATTAGTCATCATCAACGACATAGTCGGAGAGCCAAAATCAAAATTGTGAATGAGTCATCATCAACGACCAAGGTCGGAGAGCCAAAATCACAATTTTTCGCAATTCAAACAGGTCGTCATGTACTTTTTGAATGCACTAAGAAATTGAAAATTTTCCTTTCGAGAAATTTTCTCTTCTGAATTTTCAAAGTAAAGTATAAAGAATGGAGGAAAATATAAGACAGTCAAAGAAAATATTACTTCTTTTGTTTTTCTCGATGAGAATTTTGTCTTTATTTCAAAAGATACAAATTTCCAGAGTTACTGTTATGAATTTCGATTAGTCATCATCAACGACATAGTCGGAGAGCCAAAATCAAAATTGTGAATGAGTCATCATCAACGACCAAGGTCGGAGAGCCAAAATCACAATTTTTCGCAATTCAAACAGGTCGTCATGTACTTCTTGAATGCATTAGAAATTGAAAGGTTTTTCCTCGGAAAAATCCTCTCTTACACAATTCTCAAAAAGAAGTTTGAAATTAGTTGATTAAAGTCTTTAACTATTCTTTTCTTTTAATTGAAAGAATTTTCGGAACCAATGTCTCAGATAATGTCATCATCAACGACCAAGGTCGGAGAGCCAGAATCATAAATTAGGATTGCGTCATCATCAACAACATAAGTTGGAGAGCCATAATCCAGAATTTATTTTTAAGACAAAGTCATTATGTACTTTTCTTTCAATACAAGGAAAAGAAAATCAATCACTCAATAAATTAGAATGATTGATTTTTAGTTTTGAAATGTTAGTAAGGTATAAGTATAAGAATTTTAAATTAAAAGTAGACGTTAAAAAAAAAATTTTGTCAAAATTAAATTTTTTTTGAAAAACTCTAAAGTGACAATTGATGAAAATCAATTGTTCCGATAACGTAGCTGACAGCAACGTAAGGAAAAATCCCACCGCTGCCACCATCAGCTTGTTACGAACCGAAAAAAAATATTAATTATAAAAATTATTATTTTCTATGTCCTGGAGGCACCAAGCTGCCGAAATTAAAAATTCCGTTTAATTTTATGGGATCGTGTATCCTTTTTAAGAAGAAAACTGCCAAGTTACGTTATTCGGAATTGAATTTAAGGGATAAGACACAATAAAACAATTAAGACCCTTTTATACATTTATTATAAAAAGAAATCTTTGATTTTAAAATGTTGAAATAATACAATAAGATAAGAAGATGGAACGATACATGTTTAAAAACTTACTCTACTGCTTATTATACCGTCGCAAGCTAACGAGGGCGAGGCGTCGAGCTGCTTTCCGACGGGCGGAAAAATACACACACTTAGCAAAGCGCGAAAGCGTCTATTGGTAGCGCACGAAAAATGCTCTCACGGGTCCACCGAATCTAAACAGCGCAGGCACCACACGTGCGGACTGGCCGGTCAAAAAGACAAAAATTCAATAATTTGATTTTATTCGAATTACTGGATTTTTATTAAAGACGACTTCCGTTGGACTTCGTCGGCGTGAAGTATTTACTTTAACTTTTCGTCCGTCCAATTTTAATCACTATCTATGTAGTGGATTGCAAAAATTGAAAAACCGACTCACGGACGGGCTTAGTCCCGGCGTCTCAAAATCGTTTTTATGCCTCTGAAAAATTTCAGAGCTGACTCGCGAATGAGAGTTGTACTGCAATTAATTGACTTCCGCGATGCACTTTTATATGAACGTTTAGAGACTTCAGGTGGGAAAATTTTGTGGACTAAGGGTTTTTAACACGTGAACAAGGCGTGAGCTCTGGGCCTGTTACTATGCCAATAATGCTGAGTTTTTATTTTCTTTTAATGGTATAGCCAAATATAATAATATGCACTTGATAAAATCAAGCATTATTATTGAAAAGACTTGTTATCTTTTGGATTTGTTTTATGAATTTTCCTTGTTGGAAAATGATTTGATTTTTGGCATTTTTACCCTTTTTTTATTTGCAACAATTACAACGTTGATGTTGTGTTGTTATGAGCATGTAGGATTGTTAGGTCCAGAATACGTAATAAAAAGAGTGGGGGGGGTAGAGTAAGAAAAGGATGGAAGCTGAAGAATTACGTTCAAGAAAAAGCTCATCGCGTAGATTTATTTTAACTATTATCATTATTATATCCCTTTTTTTTCGCGAGAAGTCCAATTTCTAGTGTGGCTCCTGTACACATCCATACTCATTTTTTTTTTTTTAGACCCGCAAGTGATAATATCGTGCCTCACAAAACAAAGTATCCATTATTATCTTTTGCAATCAATAATTCCGTTAAATTTTAAATTATGAACATTGCCGCAGCGTTCGATGCATTCAGGGTGCTGCCGCAATGTTCGTTAACGCACTCGCAACATTCGCAACATTACCGTTCGCTACTTTCTTCAATTTTAAGTGGGGAACATTGCTGCAACGTTTAATGCGCTCATAACGCTGCCGCAATGTTCACTAACACATTCGCAACATTCCCATTTACTAACTTCTACAATTTTCATTTGGGAACATTGCCGCAACGTCCAACGCACTTAGGGCGCTGCCGCAATGTTCGATAACACATTCGCAACATTCCCATTTGCTAACTTTTACAATTGTGGTTTGGGAACATTGCCGCAACGTCCAACGCATTCGGGACGCTGCCGCAATGCTCATTAACGCACTCGCAACATTCGCAGCATTAAAATTAAAAATTTTATAATTTTCATTTTTCGATGTTATATTTAATTATGAATGTTCGTAGAATAATATTAGAATATATGTACATATTTTGTTGCTGATATTTATAACATTTTGTTTTAGATATTTGTAATAATAATAATATGTGCATATATGACATTTCAAGAACAAAGCCCGAGTCCGTTCCCATCGCATTATGCTGACGATTGAATTTTATTGTCAAAGTATTGTGTTAAAATTTACGATAAGTAAATTTCACCACAATACAAGAGAAAAAAAAGAATTAAATTTTTAGGTACCACCGTGACATTTGTTAAATTTTTTTTTTGCGTATAATGACTTGCATCAAAAAATTATTTTCTATGCCAAAAAAATTTTTTTTTTGGTGAAAAATGTTTATTTTGGCGAATTTTCATTCAAATTAGAAAAAAATTAATTTCAATCATAACTGAACATAATAAATTTTTTTAAACAATTGAAGATTGGGTATGAAGTTCCATTTAAATGATAATAAAAAAATTTTTTTAAATAAAAGAGTGTTGCTCTTGTACGCTCAACCTCAAAACAGGTTTACAATTTTTGTATTAAATGTTATGAAAATATATTTTATTTTGAAAGTTTTGTTTGAACATGTTGCGACATCCAAATTCTAATCTTTGCAGTGAGTAATTAAATTTATTTAAGTAACCTAATCTTTACTTCTTAGACTATTTCAAAAACTATTCATAAGTTCATTTTCTTTCATTTTTCGTGCATAAATGACACTAGTTTGCAGAGATTTTCATTCATGACATTTGACTCTCATTTCCCATGTAAAATGACCCGCTAAAACCAAAAATAAAGTTCAAAATTTTT